GCCAAGGAGGTAAGAGAGAGCTCGTTGTCCAGAATCGTCACTGTCCCAGCCCTCACATAACCCTGCCTTGGACTGTGGATGGTGCTGTGTGATCGTGTGTGTGTGTGAGAGTGTGTGTCTGTCTGTGTTTGTGTATGTATATACGTGTGTGTACGTGTGTGCATGTGTGTGCATGTGCGTGTGTGTGTACGTGAGTGTGTGTGCGTGTGCGTGTGTGTGTGCATGCGTCTGTGTGCACGTGCATGTGTGTGTGTACGTGAGTGTGAGTGTATGTGAGTGTGTGTGTGCACGTGCGTGTGTGTGCGCGTGCTTGCATGTGTACATATGTGAGTGTGTATGTGATCGTGTGTGTGTGTGCGCGCATGCATGTGTGCTTATGCGTGCATGTGTGTGTACATGCATGTGTACGTGTACGTGAGTGTGCTTGGGTGAGTGTGTACGTGAGTGCGTGTGTACGTATGTACGTGTGCGTGTATGCGTGTGCATGCATGTGTGTGTGTACGTGAGTGTGTGTGTACGTGAGTGAGTGTGTACATGAGTGTGTGTGTGCATGTGTGTACATGCACGTGTGTGCGTGTGTACATGTGTGTGTCTGTAAGTGTGAGAGTGTATGTGAGTGAGTGAGTGCGTGTGAGTGAGTGTGTATGTGTGAGTGTGAATGAGTGCGTGTGTGTGAGTGTGTGTGTGAGTGTGTGTGTGTGTGTGTGAGTGAGGGTGAGTGTGTGTGTATGAGTGTGAGTGAGTGCGTCTGTGTGAGTGTGTGTGTGAGTGAGGGTGAGTGTGTGTGAGTGTGTGAGTGAGTGTGAGTGTGTGAGTGTGAATGTGAGTGTGTGAGTGTGAATGTGTGTGAGTGCGTCTGTGTGAGTGTGTGCGTGAGTGAGGGTGAGTGTGTGAGTGTGAGTGAGGGTGAGTGTGTGAGTGTGAGTGAGAGTGAGAGTGTGAGAGTGTGAGTGTGTGTGAGTGTGTGATTATGTGATGTGTGTGTATGTGAGAGTGTGAGTGTGAGAGTGTGAGTGTGTGTGTGTGTGAGTGTGTGAGTATGAGTGAGTGTGAGTGTGTGAATGTGAGTTTGTGAGTGTGTGTGTGAGTGTGTGTTTGTGAGTATGAGTGAGTGTGAGTGTGTGTTTGAGTGTGTGTGTGTGTGTGTGTTTGTGAGTGTGTGAGTGTGAGTATGTGTGTGTGTGAGTGTGAGAGTGTGAGTGTGAGTGTGTTTGTGAGTGTGTG